TGAACAAAACAGACATACTTCCTCTCCTCATAGGGCTTACAGTGTAATGTGTTTGTGTATGTATAAATGCCAGCCCAAATTACTATAAAATTATAGCTGTGGCATTAACTACAAAGAAAAAGAGTGCTATGAAACCATATAACAGGAACCTAAGCAATTGGAGGCTCCTCTGAGGAAGTGACCTTAAAACTGAGTGCTGGCCAGGCACAGAGGCTCATCATGCCTGCAGTCCCAGCACTTTGGGAGGCTGAAGTGGGACGATAGCTTGAGCCCAGGAGTTTGAGGCTTTAGTGGGCTATGGTTGTGCCACTGCACTCTAGCCTGAGGAGCAGAGTGAGACCTACGTCTCTAAAAATATAAAAAGAAAAATAAAGAACAAGAACAAAAACAAAAAAGCTGAGTCCTGAAGAAAGAGTAGGAATTAGCCAGGTCAAAGGGTGGGAAAGAGTATTCCATTCAGGGCGACCAACATGCATGAAGACCCTTACAGAGAAGGGGCTTAGCAAATTTCAGAAACAGAAAAGAACAATGTATCTGAAATATTATGTGAGAAGAGAAGTGTGAGATGAGGCTGGGGTGGTAGATAAAATTCAAAGGCCCAGATCACCATGGAAAACATCCTAGACATAGGAGAGCTTGCAGGAGGAGGATTGTAATAGAACAAAAGTAGAAGTTTGGAGAGTTTGGGAGAAAAGTGGGAAGGAGGCTGGATAGACCATGAAGTCCTATGGTCATGAAAGAAGGTTTTGTCTTTGGCCTTAAGAGAATAGGAAGCCACTATATTTGGATTAAGGAAGAAGAACCCTCCCAAAGAGTACTTAGAAGAAACAGCCAAAAATGTAGCAGGAAAAAAATGGAGACAATAAAGTAATGGAAACTAAAGAAAAAGAATGTTTCTTTTAAAAGGTTGAAAGGTGAATATGATGATTACTGAAAAAAAGCAGGGCTCTTCCTCCAGAGATATTTACTTAATTGGTCTGGGCTAGGGCCCAGGCATCAGTATTTTTTAAAACTTCCCAAGTGTTTCTAATATGCAGCCAAGTTTGAGAAACATTGCTCTTAAGGGTATGTGGGTGGTGATGGTGGTGATTTAACACTATAGAAGGTAAACCATGTTTGAATGCTATTTTGGAATCCAGAGTATAACAAGAAAAAGGTTGAGGATTATGGAAAGATATGAAGAGCTTTGAGGCCTTTTGTTTTAGGTTTTTTGTTTAAGGCCTTCATACTCTCCTTGAGTACAACTGTAGCAAAATAATATGAGATCATGGTACTACATTTCATACATCAATGAGGAATGGGTCATACATATAGAATATGTCCAATTATATATATTTTGAGAATTTCTATGAAAGTCAAATTTTCTTAAAAAATTTAAGAATCCAAGTATACCAATATTTCCCATATTTTAACTAAATTAATATTTTACAGAGATTCAGAATATCATCTCTCATCCTAATAGTTTCATCTGACTTAACAGGAATATACCAGGATATATTATTTATGCCTACAGTTGTAGTAATATAATATGGTATCAAAAGTTTTTAATGTCAAACTTTTAAGGGACCACAAAAAGGATATGCCATATCTTGAAAGGATACTTTTTTCCCTTGTAAAATAGGATATGATATACACCAGAAAAGACAGAAAGGTTGAAAGGTGGGAAATATAGCAAGAACCTCTAATACAAGTTGTTATGTATTACATTTTATTACAAAGTTAGAAAATACAAACATGTTTCCATTTTGAAGTCTGCACTGAGAAAATAGTAGGATTATATGGGCTACTGTGGTTCATAAAATTTTTGCTGCTGTTGACCATGGGAAAGGAAGATGAACAAAATAAATGATTTAGAAAAATTGGAGTTTAAAAGTGGTATGAGTTTATAGAAGGAGAAGTGTAGTGGTAGCTAGAAAGGGATAAGTTAACAAGTTAGGAAAAGTTTGACAGCAGGAAGAAAATTGTAGGGTATATTCTCTAGGCAGAGAGGATAAAGGTTGAAAAGACAAAAGATTGAGATTAGACTCCCTCAGCTACCCTCATCTTTTTTTGTTGTTTGTTTTTTGAGACAGGGTCTTACTCTATTGCCTGGGCTAGAGTGCAGTGGCATCATCATAGCTCACTGCAGCCTCTAACTCCTGGGCTCATGTGATCCTCCTGCCTCAGCCTCTTGAGTAGCTGGGATTACAAGCGCACATGACCATGCCTGGCTAATTTTTGTATTTTTTGTAGAGGTGAAGTCTGGCTGTGTTTCCCAGGCTAGTGTTGAACTCCTGGCCTCAAGTGATCCTCCCACCTCGGCTTCCCAGAGTGCTAGGTTCATCTTTACCATCACATTAACTGTCCTTATGTCCAGATATCTCCTATATTAAGAAAAAAATTTTTAAATAGAGGTGAAAATTGTATAACATAAAATTAACCATTTTAAAGTATACAACTCAATGGCATTTAGTACATTCACAATGTTGTGCAACCACCACTTCCATCTAGTTCGAAAACATTCTCATATTCACTCCATATTCATTCCATTTCATCCCTCCCCAGAAAACTCTATATCCATTAGGCAGACACTCTCTACATTCCCCTTCCCCTAGCCATTGGTAATCACCTTTCTGTCTCTATGGATTTACCTATTCTGAATATTTCATAGAAATGGAATTTAGAATGTGTTACTTATTGTGTATTGTGTCTGGCTTCTTTGATTTAGCTTCTTTGATTTTTTTTTTTTTTTAGAGATGGGATCTTGCCGCATTGCCCAGGCTGGAATTCAGTGGCTGTTCACAGGCCCGATCATTGCACACTACAGACTTCAACTCCAGGGCTCAAGTGGTTCTCCTGCATCAGCCTCCTGAGTAGCTGAGACTATAGGTGCACACCACCTTGCGTGACTTTAGCATAATACTTTGGCGATTCATCCACACTGTAGTATGTATCAGTATTCCATTCCTTTTTGATGGCTGAGTAATATTCCATTATATGGATATAACACATTTTGTTTATCCATTCTTTTGTTAATGGACATTTGGGTGGTTTCCACCTTTTGGTTATTATGAATAGTACTGCTATGAACATTAATGTAAACCATTTTTGTTCAAACATGTTTTCAATTCTTTTGGGCATATACCTATGAGTAGAATTGCTGGCTCATATGGTAATTCTATACTTATTGAGGAATAACTAAACTATTTTTCGCAGTAGCTGCACCATTTTATATTTCTACTAGCAATGTACGAGGGTTCTACTTTTTCCACAGCCTCTCCAACACTTGTTATTTTCCATTTTTTTGATTATAGACATCTTAATGTGTGTGAGTGCTATCTCATTGTAGTTTTGATTTGTATTTCCCTAATGACTAATGATATTTCATTTCATATGCTTATTAGTATCCATTAACATATTCTTTGGAGAAATATATATTCAAGTCCTTTGCCCATTTTTTAGTTGGGTTGTCTTTTGGTTGTTGAGTTATACAAGTTCTTTATATATTCTGGATATTACACTCTTATCAGATATGTAATTTACAAATATTTTCTCTCTTCCTATATTAACTTTTTCACCTGTATCCTGGAAGTCATTTCTTTTTTTTGAAAGATCATAAAAATAAATGCATTGCTAATTATGCCCTTGCCACTTAGTCCTTCCCTAGGGCCTTCAATAATGCTCATTATAAAAGACATTCAAAAAAAAAAAAAGATATTCGATGTTACTTAAACTGAGTGGTAGGCACATGGATTTCCATTTTATTGACATATTTTATTATTTCTCTTATATATAGGTTATATTCACTTTTGGTGTCTATATATTTTTATATAAAAAATTTTAAAGCCTTGACAATAATGATTCCTCTGATTATTACTCCATTTTCTTACTTCTGCCCTCACTTTCATTAACATACTTCTACAATGAGTGGTCTTTTAGCTGCTTTTTTTATCTACAACTGGTGCCTCTTTAATCTCTTGAAATACAGCTTCTTTGTCCCGAAATAATGACACCTTTGAGTCTGTGCCCCACCTCTCTTTCTTCTTTCTTCCTAGGTGATGTCCCTCATGATTCACCCATCTAGTTGCATTATGCAGACGACCTCTCAATCTGTGTCTCCAAACCTAACCCCTAACTCAAGTTTTAGAACTTTATGGTGGATAGGTCCAGTCTCTTAGTTTACCAGATGTATTTCCCCTATTAATCACGTTTTTTCCAATCCAATTTCCTATTTCTTCAACGGACATCGGATTCAGCCTCATAGCTTTGTAGTAATTGTTGGTTCCTCTCTATCACACCTCCTGATCAGTTATAACGTCTTGTGATTTCTATTTTAAATACACTTCATTTGCACTCAATGGTTAGCATTCCATTTTAATCTGTTATCACAGCGTGCTGGAAGTATTTCAATAGCCCCTCTCTGCCTGACTTCAGATCCTCTCCTTCCTTAGGAGATAACGGAAATCTTTAAACAGAGCAATGTGATGAAACGTGGTGCTAAGTAAGAAAGATAACTTTGGTAGTATTCTGGAAGATGAAGTGGAGAAGGGAGGGTGTAGACCCTCGTTATTGAAGCCATGAGAACCGGAACTGTGGCGATGGAGAAAGATGTAAAATCGTAAACTGGACTGGTGACCAAATGCAACTGGAAGGACTTAACCACACTAACATCCTGTATTGTATCTTACTCCCACAAATGAAGTACGTCAGGTGAATTTTTGCTAAGCGAGCAATATCCGCACTGCTGTAAGAATTGCCACGCTCGGAGTGGGCCAGCCAACCTCCACCATCCAGCTGGCGGATCCCAGATTGGCGGCGTGCGTCTCTCTAGCTTCCGTCTCTATGGTTCGAGGAATCTCCAGGTCGGGGCTCAACCGGTCCGACTTTTGCGCGTGCGTGAGCCCAGGCGCGTGCCCGCCCGCCCTCAACTGTCCGGCCCCGGGTGGGAGGGGTGGATCTGGGAACGTTGCGGCGGCTGTCGCCGCGGCCCCAACACCCAGGGCTGTTCCCCGGCCGAGCCTGCGCCGGGGAGTCCTTCGCTGTTTCCTCGGGCGGCGGCCACCCGCCCCCAGATGGTGGGTCCGGAGGATGCCGGAGGCTGCCCGGGGAGAAACGCCAAGTTGTTGCCGGTGCCGGCCCTGGAGCCTGTGGGCCAGGACGGGAAGATGATCCGGGCCACGGGCGGCTTTGGCGGAGGCGTCGGCGCTGTGGAACCGCCAGAGGAGGCTGAGGAGGAGGAGGAGACGCCGCCTCGGCAGCTCCTCCAGCGTTACCTCGCGGCGGCCGGGGGTCAGCTGGAACCCGGGCTCTGTTACTGTTCGCTCCCCGCCGGCCAGGCCCGCGCTCCGCCGCCCTCGGCAGCCCTGCGCTCGGACGCCTGCCCGCTGGGCTCGGGCTCCAAGCACCGCGACGCAGAGGCAGCGGATGCCCGCGCGCCGCGGCACGGAGGCATGACCAACGGGGACTCGGGCTTTCTGCCCGGCCGAGACTGTCGCGACCTGGAAGAGGCTCACGGGCTGGCCCGCGCCGGCGGCCGGGAGTCGCTCCGCCGCCGCCCCTGCGGCCGCCTCCGCCTGGAGGGGCCTGGCGACGAGGACGCGGACGGCACGGGAAGCTCGTCCGACTGGGCCGCGCCACTCGAAGACCCGCTGCGGAGCTGCTGCTTGGTGGTCGCGGACGCCGAGGACCCCGAGGGCGCGGGCAGCGGCTCGGGGGGCAGTTTGGCCAGCGGCGGCAGTATTAGCGAAGGCTTAGAGCAGCCGGGAGCCGGCGCGGGGGGTGCCGAGGAGGGCGCGGCCCCCGTCACCTTGGCGGAGAGGACTAGTGGGGGCGCGGAGGCGCGCCTCGGCTTTCCCGACGTTCATTTGAACTCCCGGAATACGTTCGAGGTGAGCCGCCGCCAGAGCGCCCGCGACCACCTGCCCTCGTCGGGGCAGCCAGTGCCCTCGCCCGCTGCGGAACAGGGTCCCACGGGGACCTCGGCCCGGGCTCGACGGAGCGGCGGCTTCGCTGACTTCTTCGCCAGGTACAGCTCAGGGTGCGCCTAGGCTTGGGGCGGGGTCGGGGCCAGGAGCTCGCGGAAAGCGGCTTGGGTGGCGGCTTCGGTGCCGACCCCGCACGCGTCAGGATTTTGCTTTGATTTGTCATTGGGGAAGAGGAACTAGGTTTGCTTTGGGTTTCTGTAGTTGAGAGCTCTGTGGAGGCGAATCTTTCTGTTGCTCTGTCGGCGGGAGACTGTACCTGCCATTCACACCTGGTTTCTGAGCATTCACGTCCGGCCAGCCTGTTAGTGCCTTATCTGCAGTTGCCTCTTCCGGAAAAGCAGACAACCTTCTCCGTCCCAGATTGGTTTTTTTGTTGTTTTTTTTTTTTTTTAAGTTGTACTACAAGGATTTGGATTGGGGAGAGGGTGGTATGTGTGTACGGGTGTGATTGTGAAAAAGGAAAGAAAGTCATTTTGCAGAGCTGTTTATTTGCGTGGAATCTAAGCCCATTCTGGAAGTTTGCGAATTCTTGAAATTTGAAGTTGTGTTTCAGTTGTTTCCGTGGCCTTTATTAAAATGCAGACAGTTCGGTATTTAGAACTGGATCCCAGCCTTTTAAGTCAAATTACTATAACACTTTATCTAGGTACCCCTCCCCTTTTTCTACTTCTCCCAGAGAGGCCCTGACTTCTTTTTAAAACAACTTAAACAATTTTTTTTATTTTTTATGATTTGACATGATATTCTTGAAATTAAATTATGGTGCTGGACATTGCAGATTTCAGGATAGGGCTTTGTCGAAATAAGGATAAATAAGCAGGGAAACAGAAAATACTTAATGCACATTACTGAAAAGCAATTTCTCTTGACTTAGGTTTGACACACTTTTAAAAAATCTCTAGGCAAATAGGAAAGTATTCCCAACTTGTAAAACTTTCCATTTTAGAGTTCTCTGTTCTGTGTTTTTGTTTCCTTTTCAGGGATCTTGATTATAACCGGAACAAATTCTGCATCTCAAGTTTTAGAAGGTTATACAATTTCTGTACATATTTGTAGGCACAAAGGCACAATTTTCTGATTGTAATTTCTTATTCCTTTTCTACATTATTATCCCCTTTTTTGCGTGTACAAATTTACAAATAAATTATAAAGTTTCTTAAATCAAGAGTGGGAAATTCTAATTTTGTGTTATGCATAGGACAAATATATAGTAAGATCTGTATTTGTATGTATAGTTGCAAAAATATATTCAAAGCTTGTAAGTGGCAATATTCTAAAAGATGTCAGGGTAAATTAGGTTTATGTTTATGACACTCTGCGGCCCTTGAGTGTTTATTAGTCATGGTATCTATCTTGCTCAGGTTTTGAGGTCAGGTGTCAGACCTGGCAGGGGCTTTGGAGATTGCTAATTCAACCAATATACCCTGAATGCTTGCTGTATGCCACACATTGGAAATAGAGATAATTTGGACAATGGTCTCTGACCTGGAGGTGGAGTGCAGTCTAGTGGGGATTAAGTTTGAAGACACATACATATATATGCATTGTAATTTATGAATAATAGCAATGTAGGCCTATGTATAAGAGGCTTTCATATTATTTATTAGCAGTAGGCAGGAATTTTGATCTAATTTTTAAATTTTCTTTGACTTGTATACTGATAGGACTTTTCTTAATATAGCAAGATGACATTCATATGGCCACATTATTCATATGTATCAGAGCACTGGATTTGAAGTCAGAAAACTTAGGTGCCCTGAAGTTAATTTCCCTAAGCCTCATTTTTCTTAATTGAGATCTGAATGTCAAAACTATAAGAGTCATTGCTTCCTTTATATTTAATATGACATTGTTGGGAAAAGGCAGAGTCAGAGGCACAATTTTTGTCTTAGTATTTAGCTAAAATCTTAACTGGATCCTGAACACCTTGAAATCAAGGACATTCATCTCTCAATCTACAATACCTAGAACTGGTATGAAGAACCACATTCAGCTTGAGTTGATTTGGAAACTTTCATAAATACCCCTTTTTTTTACTGTTGTCTAGATAGTGTAATTTTTTTTTTTGAGACAGGGTGTCACTGTATTGCTCAGGCAGGTTTCCAACTCCTGAGCTCAAGTGATCCTCTCATCTCAGCCTCCTGAGTAGCTGGGACTACAGGTGTGCAACACCATGCCAGATAGGTAGTATAATTTTGAACATATTCTCCATCCTTTTTTATTTTTTTTTTATTTTCTATTTTTTTGAGACAGAGTCTTGCTGTGTTAACTGGGTTAGAGTGCTGTGGCATCAGCCTAG